AAAATAAATAAATAAAAAGTGGAAGAAATTTGGAGAAAAATGAGAAATTAAAAAAAGAAATAATAATTCTTTCTTTTTATTTACTTAAAGTGCAAATAATTAAAAAAAATTCCATCTTTATCAGTTTAAAGTCATACAATTTTATAGCTTTTTCTCTCTCTTTTTTTTTCTATCCATTTAATCTCTTTTATCTTTTCAGAAAATAAATAAATTAGCAGTTTTTATTAGTTTTAAAAAACAAAATTTTCAAAATAGTTTTGCAAATTTCGAATTTTAATTTGTATTCAAACTTAAAAAAATTTCTTTTCATTAACAATTGCAAGAATTTTTCAATTTCGATTTAAACATATGGTCGATGAATATCAAATAATTGAGCATATTCAAATATTTGATTGCTTTTTGGAAGAAATTAGATTGAAAAGTTATAGTTTAAAAGTTTGAAATAATTTTTTATGAATTCAAACTCATTTTTGAAGTTGAAATTTTTCAAAAATCAACAATTTTTTTAAAATAATTTTAAAATTTAAATTTGAAAAAAAAATTTTTTTAACTTTTGCTAATGCAATAAAATTATTTCATTTCATATTTAACCATTTTTAAGCTGCATTTTTATTTTTTATCAGTCACTGATAACTTTTAAGTTAGCACTGAAAGAATCTAATATTGATAATTCATTAGAACAATGATAACAGTTTAGTTTTTTTATCACAATGAAAACTTTTCAGCAGTAAACTTCTACAATAATAAAAAAAAAAATGTGAGAAATAAAATTTAAATTTAATTTTCATTTTAAAAATAATTAATATCATTTTTCATTTCTAAAACCAAAACAGTGCAGCAAATCATTAGCCAAACTATTCCATTGAGATTTTATTTTTCAAATAATCACTCAGTTTTTGATGAAATTTCTAAATTGTGAATTTTAAAAGCTTAGAATTGACATACTTTACAATCTTTCCACCAAAGAAAAAAAAAAGAAGGAAAAAATATTTTTTAGCATTTAAAATATTTTGTTGTTTAAAAAATTTTCAACATTTATCGAAAAAATTCAAAATTAAATTTATAGAATTTAATTTTGAATTTTGAATAGAATTATATTTTATAGAAATGAAATATAAAATTAGCATAACGAATAATATGTTTATTTTTCAAAATTTGAAAGAGCAATTTGTAATGATTGTATTATTGAAATGTGTACTTTAATGTGTGAATTGTTTATTTTCACCATTTCTTGTTAACAAAGAAATTTTATAATGTTCTAAAATTTTGTTTACAATTATTTTCCATTTTTCATCCATTATTATTAGCAAATATGAAAAAGTAATTTTAAATAATTTCATTTCATTTTAATTCCTTCGAATTTATTCAAACAAACACTTTTTTTTTTTTCTTCTGCTTTTGTAATAGAAAAGAAAATGATGAAAAAAAAAAAAATTTTCTTTCAAAAATTTAAAATGTTTCTTTTTTCTCAAAAAAAAAAAAAAAAAAGCCAATGTTTAATATTGTTTAAAAATATGTTCTGTATGGCAAAATGTCGGTAAAAATTCTTTGATTTAATTATAATTAGTCTCAAAAGAAAATTTTAAATATGTATGTATGTGTATTCCTAAATTAGCACAGCTCATTCAAATTAAACTTGATCAATTAATAGTAGTAAATTTTAATGAGAAAGATTACATCAAAATCCTTTCGGAATTTAACAAAAAAAAAAAAAGAAAAAGAAAGAAAAAGCAATTTAAATTTTAGCAATCAAAAATTGATGCTTATAAATAATTAAATAGCAGAATAGCTTGTTAATGAGCTTTAACATGAGTGAGAAAGAAAACCGAAAGAGAATTGCTGGTAAATAAGAAAATTCAATAAATATTCAAAAAAAAAAAAAAAATTAAATAATATTTAAAAAAATTATCTTTTTAGAAAAATAATAAATTATAAATTAAGAATATGTGATGGAGAAAAAATTTTGTTTTTTATCGAAAGGTATTTTAAAATTTTATTTAGTGTTTTTTTTTTTTTTCTTTTAATTTATCAATTATACATACAAATATAATATTTCATTGCTAAATATAATTGTTCATAATTTTATACAAATACATAAATCGGTTATAATCATTTTATTCATAATAATAAAATTTATTAAACTTGATTTAATCCGATATTTCTCCAATGAATGATAATAAATTCTAATATATTCTATTAAATTTCAAATATAGTTTAATCATTATCAATTGCATTAGCAATTTCTCAAATGTACAAATTATATTTGTTATTTTTATCAATTACATCTGATAATTTTTACATAAAAAAGAAAGAAGAAAATATGGAAAATAATATTTTACATCAATTTTTATTGTTTATCAAAATTTTTGGCATTTTAAAAAAGTTAAAAATTATTTAAATATTTTTTTTTTTTGTCTCTTTCACTCATTAACATTTAATTGATTAATTTCATCGTTCAATAAAATTTACTTTTATTACTTTTAGTGATAATATCAATGACTTTTAGCATTATATCATTTTTGTGGTTTTGTTTTTTCGAATGTAAAAAAAAAGTGAAAATAAAAAGGAAAAAAAAAATTTGAAGTGAAACAATTGTTCAATTTGAAAGAGAAAAATGTTAAAAAAGAGAAAAAAAAAAAAAAAAAAAAAAAACATTACAAATTAAGAATTTAATTTGAGAGTTATTTATATTATTCATTCTTTCATACTTCTTTTTAGAGTATTTTTTTATAATAATAATTTTCTTTTTATCATAGTGATACTTGTAAAAATGGTGATAAATTTGATAAGAAAATTGATAAATTTTAAAGAGAATATTTCCTCTCAATAAATGCAATTGTGATAAAAGCATAAGGGATGAAATTAAATTTTCTCTAATAAAAGTTTTAATTTATTGCTTTCATTTTAAACTAAAAACATTATTTAAATAGATATATTCAATGTTTACACTGTTATATACATATCACATTGCATCATTTATTTACTTATAATATCATTTTAATTATTATTTTATATTTGAATATAATTTCTCATGTATATTAATTAATTAATAATTAATTAACAATTGTTATAGTGATATTATATATGTCCGAACATATTCAACTATAGTAATCATTATTTTATATATTAATATTTATCATTGTTATAGTGATACACAAATATATTCAATATAGTTGTTCAGATGACATAATAATAATAATAATTATTATTATTATAGTGATCGGAATATCGAAATATATCAATCATAATACATAATCATCATTGTTATAGTGATTACATATACCAAATACATTAGATAATAATAATTATTATTATAGTGATTTATGCGATATAATTAATCACAATACATAATTATCATTGTTATAATGCATATTGAATATAATGAACCACATTAGATGATCATTATTATTACTATTATAGTGAATCAATCAACTATGAAATAACCGAGAATATTTGAAATTTAAATTTGTCAATAAAATTTATAAATTCTTTTAACTCATTCTCACATTTTATTATATTATTAGTTTCATTTGTTGGAAATTCATTTATATCTAATTACTGCTACCTTTGAACTAATAAAATAGTAATTAATTTTTTGTCAAATTTACTTTGACAGTTTTCAAAACAAAAACGAACATTCGAGAGTACAAAAGTATTGGTCATAAAATGAAGTTTAACAAGTCATAAAACATTCCACTGATCTTTTTTTATTGTTTCAAATTAACTTTTCGAAAATTAATTGTTTGCCAGAAAAAAAAAAGCAAAACAAATTGATAAATTTTATTTTATTTTAAAATTTTTTTAATAAAAAAAAAATTCAAAATAGCTATTGTAGCAAAAAAAATGATAAAAAATACTAATTTTTTCCAAATTCAACAAATTTTGATAATTAATTTTGAAAAGAGAAAAAAAGGAACTATAAACTTGACAATTTTATAGTTTTTGCGAACAAAAAAATTAAGTTAATATTATATTAATTGCAATTTATTAAATCCTTGCTCATTAGGTTTCATTACATATCGTTTTTTTATTTATTATTTTGATATAAGTGATATGATATGTGATAACAATTATGATAAATAATGTCAACTTATCATACAATATTAACTGACATTGCAATCTTTTTATTTTATTAAAAATAGAAAATTGATAATAATTTTTAAATATTTTAATATACTTTCTAAATTCTTTTCAATTACATTTTAATAATATCAAAAATATAATTGGATAAGCTCAATATAGTAGTAAAGTAATATTAATATTCCTATACATTTTTCACTTTAATTTTATTAAATTCGATTTAAATTTTAGTGGTATCAAAGAAGTGCTTAATTTGATGAACTTAGAGACAGCACTAAAATAATTTTAATATTCCTAGTCATTTCTTCTTTTTTATTTTAATTTTACAAAATTAATTTTTCCCACCCTTTTTTTTTTTTTTTTTATTTTCTGATTACAATTTGAAAATATGTAAATCTTTTTAAAAATTTTTTATCACTTATTGTTTTAGATTTAAGAGCATCTGTTGTTTCTATGATTGATGGATGATCAATTTGAAATTGTTGCTATTGCTAACTTTTTTTTTCTTTCTTTTCTTTCTTCTTTTCTTCTCTTCTTTTTTTTTTTTTTTTTTTTTGTGTGAAATTGTTGCTATTGTTAGAATTTTTCATTTAGTAAAATTTAAAGCAAAAAAAAAAACTTTTGGAATAAATGTTTATGCATAGTGAGGGAGCATTTTTAACAGAAAAATAATGCAAAATTTTTGGCTAATTTAAACATTCCAACAATAATATAACAATAATTAGTTAATAAAAAATTTTATTTAAAATATATATTAGTTAAACTTTTGAATTTTTATATTTTAAATATATTAATTGATGAAAAAAAAAAAAAGAAATGATTAAAGTTAAAATTTTGCAAATTTTTATTTTTTAACTTTTAAATTTCAAATTTTGTTTATTAATTTTTAATTTAATTAATGCAATAACATATTTTTACAGAGTGATAATCAATCACAGAATCGTAGTATTACAACTATACAAGCAACTGATTGCATACTCAAAAATCGTCCAGCATTACGTCTTGATTCACGTCTTGTTTGCAAATATGAAGTATTAGCTATAATTGGAAAAGGTTCATTTTCACAGGTAATATTTCTCTTTTTTTTTTGTTTAATTAATTAATTGATTAATTAATTAACTAATTATTTAATTCTCTTTATTTATTATATATTTATTTATAAAAGTTCCTCTCAAACTATGCAAATTAGTTTTACATCAAAGTAAAAACATCAGAAGAAGAAGAAAAAATAATTAAATAAAACTGGAAATTATAATATTTGACAATTTGATTTGAAATTTTATTACTTGTATACTATTTATTTTTTTTTAGCATTACTTATATTTTTTAGAAAAGAAAACTTATTTATTGTAGTATTACTTATACTTATTGTAAATTTTATTTATTATAGGTTCTTCGGGTACAACATCGTCTAACACATAAATATTATGCGGTAAAATTAGTTTCAGCTGATTGTGGCACTGTAAATAATGAATTAGCAATATTAAGTCGTGTACAGCATCCATTTGTGATTCGACTTGAAGAGGTTCCGCAGAATTAATTAATTAATTAATTTGTTTGTTTCTAAACATTTTACATTGAAAGATGTATTCGTTTTATCTTTATTTATGTATTTTGTTTCTGAACAGTGTTAATTTTATTTTACGTAGAAAAAAAACAAATAATAAATAAATAAATAAATAATTGATTTGGTTTTTTGAAAGGAAAAGGTGAAAAACGAAAAAGAAATTTAAATAATCGATTTAATTCTAGAAGGTGAAGAAAGAGAGGAGGGAAAAAAAAAATCTGAAATAATATGTTCACAGAATATTATTTATTAATATTAATTTATTATTGTTTATTTTTTCTATTAATTTATTATTTCTATTTTTCTTATTATAAAAAAAAAAAATATTACAATTTATAAAAGTTAATTAAATTTGTTTAAATTTTTGTAGATAAAAATTACCATTTAGAATTTGTAATAAAATATACACATTTTTTAACTTTCATAGATTGTAGTATTTTCTTTTGTTTTGTTCTTTTTTTTTTTTTTTTTTTCTTTTTTTTTAAAGCATTTAACTTGTAAATAAAATAATTTTTATAAATTGTAAAAAAGAAAAATGAAATAAATGAATATTTAGGTGTTTAAATCATCATCACGATTATTTATTGTAATGGAAATGGCAAGTGGTGGTGAAATGTATAATCGTGTGGTAGCAAAAGGAAGATATTCTGAAATAGAAGCACGACAAGCACTTCGAATGCTTTTAAATGGTTTAGCATATTTGCATAGCATTCGAGTGACACATCGTGATTTAAAACCGGAAAATTTATTGTACAGTGATGCAACACCGGATGCTAGATTGCTTATTACGGATTTTGGTTTAGCATATCAAACGCAAACATCGGAGGAGAAAATGACTGAAACATGTGGTACACCGGAATATATTGCACCAGAAGTAAATAATTTATTTTTATAAATTATTTAATTTTTTTTCAAACATACAATTCTTTTGTAATATACATTTTTTTTTTTTTTTTTTTAATATTTAATTCTTCAAAATTTCAAATAATTTAATAAATTAAGTTTAAAAAAAAAAAAAAAAAAAAACTTTTTTGTTATTTTTATTTTTACTTTTACTTTTTTTGTTTGTTATTGTTACTATTATATAAAATATTTTGAAATAAATTTAAAAATTTTTATCATTTATAAGGTTCTTCTTCGATCAGCTTATACTGAAAAGGTAGATATGTGGGCAGTTGGTGTCATTGCATATATTTTAATGTCCGGTATAATGCCATTCGATGATGATTGTCGATCTCGTTTGTATACACAAATTATTACAGCTAATTATATTTATTATCCACAGGTTTAGTTTTTTTTTTTTTTTTCTGTAAATTTTTATTTTTACGGATTTAACAGAAACAAAATTTGTTAATGAATATAATTTATTAATAAATATTAGCATTGAAAAGAAAAATTTTTAAATTAACAAGTATTAAGTATTAAATGGTTTTTAAAAAAAAAAAAAGGAAAAAAAAATTGCAAGTTTATATTATTTTTTAAATAAATATATTAAATAATTTAAATAAATATATTAATTAAAAATTATTTCATTTAATTATAGCATTAGTATTAAAAAGAAAATGTTACATAAGTATGATTAATTATAGTTTTGGTCTGGTTCAGAATTAGCAAAAGATTTTGTTGATGCATTACTGGAAACGGATCCGGATGTACGATTAAGTGCAACGGATGCCGTAAAACATGAATGGTTTATGGGAAATCGAAATCAGCTAAAAGTAATAATTAAAACACGACCTGCTTCCGATTTTACGACAATTCAACGGGTAAGTAATGATAATATTAAATTTTATTATAATTGATTTTATTGAAACAAATTAAAAAAAAAAAACGGTAAAAATTTCTATCAATTTTTTACAATATTTTTTTTTTTCCTTTTTTAATATATAAAACTTTTATTCTATAATTTATTATTCAATAAATTGATATAGAAATAAATTTATGAAATAAAATTTTTGTATCTAGGAAGAAAAAATAAGTATTTTATTATGATTAGAATTTTAAATAATCTTTTTTTTTTCTTCAATGTATCAAATGAAAAGTTTCATTTTATTTAAGCAATTAATTACTTTGTTTTAATTTTTTAATTTTCATTTTTTTTTACGTATTTGCTAAGTTTTTTAAGAAAGTTAATTATTGTTTTTAATTTAATCATGCAAAATTATCACATTATCAGTGATATTAAATGGAAAAATTGATGATAGCTTACGGATTAGAAGAGAAGTAATTTAATTTTACAAAAATTTCCATTTTTAATTTAAATTCACTCTTGTTTGGAGTTTTTTTTTTTTTACTTTTAATTAATTATTTCTTCTTTAAATTGATCAGTACAGAAAAGATAAATTTTGAAGCATAAGAATTGATGAAAAAATTAATACTTAATTAAATTAATATAATGTAAATTAATTTTTAAATGAAAAGCATTTTTTTTTTCTTTTCATTTTTTAATTTTTTAACAAATAGCAATAATAATAATAATAATAAAGTTTGAAGGCGAAAGTATGAAATATAAGTAATTTTAAGTAATTTTAATTGCAATGATACGAATGTACGTTCCATTACTGAAAAATGTAATATATTAAATGGATAAATTATTTAATTGATTGATTAATTAATTAAATCGAATTGCTCAAGAGTTATTAAAATTGATAAAATTAATTAAAACTGAAAGGGAAAGTCATAATGATTCATTAGCAATGATAAATTATGATAAAGTATTTCTTATTTTTATTTCTTTTTTTTTTTTTTTATTAAATAATAGCAACAAAATTTTAAAAATGAAAGTATAAAATAATTTTAAAAAAAAAATAATAAAACAAATTTTTATTATATGTATATATTATTTTGTTCAGACACGTTCCACGCGATCAATTCGAAGTGTTACACGATCAGATCACGGTCATCGCGTTGATCCACGTGAAGTAGATCGTTTAGCTAGTGATTTACAACGTTTAGCAAAATTTCAACAACATTCAACTAAACATTACGGTTTTTTATAGTTTTATTCTTTTGTATTATAAATAGTTCAAAGAAAAAAAAAATTTTTTTTTTCTTATTACTTTGCTAAATTCCTTGGCTATTTTTCATTTTGTTTTTATTTATTAAAAATTTTGAAATTTTTTATTGTATAATGGAAATTAATTTGTTATATGTTCATTAGTACATATTTATTATGTATTATAATTTATTAATTAATCAATTGATTGATCGATCAATTAATTAATTAATTAATTAAGTCATGCTCAATTTCTACCTTTTGTTTTGTCGTGATTCAATGATGCATTTTCTTTCTTTCTTTTTTTTAAAAAAATATATATATGTATGTATCGATTCAATGAACTCAATAATATTCTGATGAATTACTTTTTGATTAGCATAATCATTCAACAATAATTAATTACATTATTCATTAATCATTAAGATTGATTAAATATGCAATAATGGATATAACGATTGATCAGAATAAGAATTAATTTAAATTTATTAAAATTTAGAGAATGAAAAAAAAAAAATACATATGTAATTTCTTCTTATATTCTAAATAATTATTTTATTTCTTCTATTTTATGTGCAAAAAAAAACAATTTTCGACTTTTTTCCTCAAAATTTCGAGAAAATTTTAAAGATTTGAAAAGCATTTCACTTAAAATACTTTCATTTTTTCCCAAATTTAATTTGAAATTAAATTATTTGTTATATACTACAATAACAAAATAGCTCGTTTATTTTTGCTACTTTGATAATAACTTCAAATTATATCTTCGATAATAATTAATCATTATTAGCGGATATTAACGAAGATCAATTATCAATCTATTATTATACTTCTTAAACTAAAATGTAACTGTAAAGATAGTTTTACTATATGATTAATTATAATTAATTTAATTAGAAATTATCCACAATGTTTGACCTTGAAATATAGTAACTTTTTCCCACTTTCCATATGAAAATATGAAATTCAATTTTCAAATACTTATTGAATTATTAATAATTAATTTAATAATACAGACAGGTGAATTAAAATAAACAATTAAAAAAATCATAGGCTTCTTTCATAATACTAATCAAAAATTTGATAATCAATCATTTCTGATAAATTGCTATATAAAAGCGGGATAGCAATCAAAAAAAAAAAAAAAAAAAAAATTTGTGAAATGAATTTCTAAGTATTATTGAATAATCATAGTAGCAGCATCAATAATTTCTTGGCAATTCAAAAAGAAAAAAGACTAATATTTTTATTTTCAACAAAATTTCTATATTTAATGGCATCGTATAATTATTCATGAAAAAAAGTTGAGTAAAAGTAAGAAAAAAAATAAAAAAAACATGTGAAATTAACTGAAAAGTTGACAATTCCGTAAAAATTTCTTTGAGAAGGCATAATTTCCTTGGCATGAAATAATGATATATTATGTGATATATATTCAATAACACTTTCTAATTACTATTTCTTTCAGACTATTTTATTATTAGAATAATAATATTATTGTAGAAATATTTGTTACAAATAAAAGAATTTATCCAATAAATTCTAAAAACATTGGAGTAAAAATGAGTAAAATTTCAATATATTAATATTGCAACATTTTTTTGAATTTGAAATGGATATCTATTAATTAAATATTAATCAAGTTTTTTTACTTAACTTTATCAATCAAGCATTTGAAACAATTTGCTGCATTAATTATAATTTAAATTTCAAAAATGTGCCTTAAAGTTAAAGTCATTTTAAAGATGCTCTCAAATGATCTAGAAAATTTATTACATAATGCAGAAACATAAACACACAAACAAACAAACATTACATTATCCTTTATCACACAACAGTTAACTTTATTTAATCAAGCATTTGAGGAAATTTGTTGCATTAATTAAAATTTTTTTTCAAAATTTCAAAAATATAGCCTAAAGTTGAGGTAAGAAAATGTTTGGGTATATTATTCTCTTACTCAAATGTAAACAACAAGAAAAAAATGAATTTCTAAATAAAAATCCATTTAACATATTAAATTTTTCGCCTTTCGTTCAATTTTAGCATTTTCTCTGCAAAATAATCATTGATCGAAATCTTATTGACAATCATATTCCCAGATGCCGGTGCTGATTTAACCTAAAGTTTGTGTTCCTTTAATAAAATATTGATTCCGATAAACTGGATTCTCAAGGAAGACCAAAAATATGTCCATACTATCAATTACTCTTTCTCAAAAAAAAGGAAAAAGAAATATTTCGAAAATTTTTAAAATTTCTAAACTATAAAAAAGAATAAAACCAGCTAACTTCATCTTTCTGCTTATTCTCGTCAATGCTTTTATCACTAGTACTTGGTGCTGATCTCTTGCCAAAAATAGCACATTTATCTTTTTCTGACATCATTGATAAATTTGGAATATATCTATCTTTCCTGTGCCTAAAATATCGATGTTTTTACAACGAATAGTAAGAAAAATCATAATCTGTTAGTAAGTTGATAATTTTAGCTGAAAATTTTGATCAAAACTTATTTTAAAACCACAAAAATTTATTTATCCAACAAACTAATATGTCCAGCTTTTTTCTGCGACATTTTATCATTTAAATGTTCTGTTAACATAAAAAACTAGTCAACTTTTGAGCAATTGCTTCTCTAAAATTTGTGGCATAGAAATAAGTCATTCTGAAACAACTTATTCGACTAAATCTACCTTTCAAAATCTAATTTTGCTATATTATGAATATTTTAAGAAAATCATCACAACATGATTGAAACCCACTCATTTAGGATTACTTTTGACTTCACTTTGTTCAAATTATTCCTCACTGGATTAGCAGCTTTTGAATTCTCTTTTTTCTTATTTAAATCAGCTAAAATAGCTGCAAAGCTATCATGATGAGCAATCCAAACTTCATCGTTTCTTTCATTACATCCTAAACCTGCAATTAAAACATTAATAATTAAATTTAGATGATTAAAATTTTAAATTAAAGGATTACGATATGAGAAAAACCTTTCGAAGTACTTCAATGATTTATCATCATTTCGATGACTAAATCACCTTCATTGAACACCTGCGCTGAATTAATGCTAAATAAATAACAATGACCATATGTCTTATTTCCTTCTTTCCACCTTTCATTTCCAGATGGTTTATGAATATATTTTCGAACACTACTACTGTAATAGTAAAATCTTTAATACTCCCATGACTGGAAAACTTTTACAAATATGATGTATATTTGAATTATTTTACTAATGATTTTGAAATTTGTAAAATAAACCAATATAATTTGATCCAACTATAAATTCTATACATCCTATCAAAGCATCAACCAAAAGATTCAAGGCTGATTATAGGCATTTGAGTAATATATCCATATATTTTTTTATTTTCTCTTTAATACATATAAATTGTATAAAAAAAAAACCTTTTGTTAAAACGTTTGCTTTCATTTGTAAATTTTCAGTGATTCCTTGTTCATATTTGCCTAATCCAGAACCCGGTTTCCAACCCATCTTCTCTAGCATCACTTGTCCAAATTTAGAATCATCTAAAAATTCAATCCAAATTCATTTCAGAAATTAAACTATTGAAAATTCCTATACAAAGTAGTGGAAAAAAAAAAGTTATAAAAAAAGATATACCATTTCGCCATGTGATATTTTGCGAATTAATCAAATTTCTTTGTTCTTGACGAGATTTCTTCCGAGATGACATATCACACTCTTTTTTTCTCCACAAATTTTAATAAACTAATCCCTAAAATTAGCATATATATATATATAGTTCGAAAAAATCGCTTTTGTTAATTTCTGTTTTTAAAAAACACTCTAAAAAAATGCTGCAAAGGAATCGAAACAAAACAAAAAATATTTTCTACATTGTATGTGCATAAGATAAATTAATCATTGAAATTTATCATTTTTTTAAAAAAGTTATTTCTTTAATTTCCTTAAATTATTTATTCGTCATGAAACTTAAATACCAAAATCCCATAAGCAAAAAACAAAACACAGAAAAAAAACAAAAGAAAAATGTAAGATGCAATATACAAAGATTCTATAATTGATTAATTATAGAATCAAAGTTACAAAGTTTAGTTTTAGATAACAAAAGCATAAAAAAAAAAAAAAAAAAACTACTTCAGCAAAAATTAACATTAGTAAGTAAAAATAGTGTCATACGATTATTATAAAAAGTAATTAACAATTTAATAGATTAACTTTAAACATATATACATATAACATCCAATTATTTCACCAATAATAAATAAACCATTTTGTTGGATGCTAAGAAAAGTCCCTTTATTAATTTCTTATTCATAATTGATTGGTACTATAAATTAATCAATAAACCAATTCATATCATTTATTCATTGATTAGATTTACAGCGATTCGAACTGCTAAATTTCAAATGAAACAAACAATAATTACAAATGTCAATAAATATGCAACTATTATATGTAAGAAAAATTTAGAAACAATACATCTAATGAATAAATTTTAAAAAGCAGCATGAAATTCAATAATCCAAATTTCGGATGTCCAAATCATTTTCATAGGTGCACCTTGATAAAGTGTACCAGCTGTAATAAATAATTGCGTTTCAGGTGAGATCTGATATAATCCATAATAATAAGGCAGCATCCAATAAGCAATCGGTGCAACCGTATAAAATTGTCCTGCATGTGTATGTCCTGAAAAAAAAGTTTTTTTTTTTTTAGATTTTTTTGCTAGTTTGTTAATCGTTTTTTTTTTTTTTTAATTTGCTAATAAAATTATACAGGCACACAAATCTTCCCATAGTTAGATGTAAATAAGATGTATCTTTGTAATCAATAGAAATAAGTAAATTCATATATACTTATTTACTAAAAATTTAAAAAGTATAAATATTTCGCTCACTAACCTGACAGAATGAGGTCAACACGTAGATGTGCACTATTAAAAGCAATTTCTTTAGCTGAAGCTGGATTATGTGAAAGTACAATAGTTGTAGTATTTTGAGGACAACCTTTTAGCGCTTCTACTGGTTGAAACTTATGAGCAGGCAATCTATAAAATGATAATAATATGTTTCGATTTGAAATTTAGTTTAGTTAAAAAATCTCTTAATACTGCACTTTAGCGGGAAAAAATATGAGAAAATTAATTAGTTTGACGGATAATATTAAATGCTTTTTCAAAGTTCAACATGTAGTACTAAAAAAGGTGGAAAATTCAGGTCAACTTACCCGCTTTCTCCACTAGAATAGTCACTCACACCAGCTATACAAATACCACGAAAAAGCACATGCCTGGAATAGCATGTAAAGTTGATTGAAAGAAAAATTTATCAACTTTCAAAACTTGCAATTTGAAATACAAGATTACTGGAACAGAAAATGTCTCAGATCAAGCAAAAGCAGGATAAATATATTAATTCATATTCCATATTTGCATAATTTTTAGAGAATTTTCTTGCTAATGTAAATACTTATGTTGTTCTCCTCTCCTAAACCTGGCTTATTAAAAAAAAAAAAAAATTGCAGAAAAAAAACCTGTTATTTAAAATCTCAAATCCATATTGTTGAAATAAATCAAACCATTCCGAAGCATTACCGTAATAATATTCGTGATTTCCACTAACATAAAACGTTTTCTGTTTCAAAAACCTTAAAAATAATCGAAAACTTTTGTGCTTAAAAGTACTTTTTAGATTTGATGAATAAATAAGTTTACTGTAAATTTCCATAAAATTACTGATTAAATTATTTGCAATTATTATCCATCATCAAAATGTAAATAATTTTGACATATATAGCCCAATAAGTTTAATGCAATTTCATACTAAACGAACATTTATGTTCTTTTTTTTTGTTTCTTCTTTATGTTCTTAGATTAATCTACCAAATAATTCCGCCAGATGAAATCACTCATAGTGCTGTTAATTCAGTGGAAATGATCGATTGAAAAGATATCAAAAATGTAAAACGTATAACTGTTCATATCTTTTCAGTCAGTCATTTTTATGAAATTTATGAATAATTATAACTAACTGACAAAATAAGAATAATGAAATAATCATTTATTTTTTTTCTTGATAAAGAAACAAGAATAAATTAATAAACGAAGATAAATCTGAATCAGACTTATAACTTAGAATATTTTTACCGTAACGGTTTTACACGATTTTCTATTGAATCTCTTGGAGCATCCACAGCATCACCAACAATAAATACAGCATCAATCGATTCACTGTTCACACGATCCACAATCTGCAAAATATTTATCCTTTATAATAATATCAGTAGTATTTTTAAAGCAAAAAGAGTAATACGACAGAAAAATCAAAAAAAAAAAAAAGAAAAAAAATCAACTTCACTTCTATCAGTATTCAACCAAATTTGAAAAACTAAAATAAATAAACAAAATGGAATCACTTTAAAAAAACAAAATCAAAAACCTAGCAATAATAAATATGAAAAGTACTTCTTCAATTTTTTCCTTAAATACTGTTGCACCTGCATGGATATCTGATATAAGGGCAAATCGTATGCCTTCTGTACCATTCGGCAAATCTTTTACATTCAGTGATACATTCTGAAATATTCTTTGAATTTAAAACCAAATTTGCTAACATAATGAAGTAATACTATATAGCAAATTTCAAATGAAGTAGAAAAAAATTAACAATACAAGCAAGTTGTAGAAGAAAGAAAAAATGTAAAATTATATTAATACTGCAAATGATAACTGATAGTAAAGATAATTGCTAAAAATTTTAAATAAAACGAATAAAAACAAAAACTAACTTTAATTACTAAATTATCACAAAAAATATATGAGAAAAAACATAAAAATATAGCAATCAGTAATGTGAAAGCAGTTTGCACATTTTTATTCAAACAAAATGCTTCCAAAACAGAAAATTTGGAGAAACATTTATTGATGAATGGATGACAAATATTTACTGTCTGAAATACATTTCGTTTTTTTCAAAACTCATTTTATATTATCTTAAACAGATAGTGAAACGACTGCTGAAGGAATATGCTTAAACAGTGCTGTGAACTTGTCACAAATATCAAATATTTCAAAAATTAAAAATTATGAGTGACTTAAATAAGTAATTCATAGGCATAACTTGCTTTCTATCAAAAGTTATATGAAAATTCGTTTTTTTAAAACTAATTTAATAGCTTATTTAAAAGCAGAAAATGAATGTTTCATTGTGGATGCATTACTTTACAGTAATGAAATGCAAGTAGAGAATGTAAAAGTTAAAAACTTACCTTTAGTTCAGAAATTACTGCTGTTAGAATTGCAAACGCAACTAAAGGAATGACAATATGGTACCATAAACCTATCGATAAAAATGATAACATAACCAGGAAACGTGGTACCAAGTCAGGAATGAAATATAAGAAAAGTGTTGCATGTCCCAGAAATAACCATAATATCGTACCAATAGCTATCAATTGCAAATAGATATTTTTTTTTCCCTATAAATTTACCATCTAAAATTTACAGCAATCTTAGCTATATAAAAAAAAAAAAAAAAAAAGAAAAAATGAATCTACACTAAATAGTTATAAACCCCCTTCAAAAAAAAAAAAAAATTGCAAAGTAGTAGTATCAAATATACAGTGGTCAGTGGAATCAGAAATAAAAATAACTTCATTATCTAATTTTTTTTTTTGTTTTTTTTATAACAAATAAGAAAATAAAACAAAACAACATTTGTTTTTTCTAACAAAAATGTTTTTGTTTTTTTTCTACAGCACTTCTTTTTTTCTAACAATTGTTACTTCATAAACAAAAGAGTATAAGTTGAACTTTTTTCTAGCTTAAATTTCTTCAAAATAGTTTTAGTAAAAATATTTACAAAATATTTTACGATATGCATAAATTACCTTTCCAGCATGATCTGTTATCATACCATTATTATTATATGCTAACACATATTTTGCAAGTTGAATGAGTCGCAGATACACGAAAACGCTGAACGGAAGTATAAAAAGTTCAAATTTGACTGTACTCAATTGACGTGCACGATTGCCTTTTCGATAATCGTGAACATCATTCACCTGTAAATAAGATATAAAAGTGTTCCTGAAATGCTCAAGGAATTTCAGTATTATATAATCCTGAAAAAATTGAGGAATATTGAGGAAAATAATAGAATGAGGAAAAATATAGCATTTTTCCTAAGTAAAATTTTCTAAAAACATTTGATCACAGTTATTTCTTTATGAAAATTAAATAAAATCAAGGAAACTAAATAAAAATGAAACAAATTACTGTTTTCCTTTCTCTTGATAGGTAATTGTATGTCAAATATCTTATTATCATCTATAGGTAATTTTGAAAGCATTTAGATATATTAATTTTGAAATAATAATGTAAAACTTACACCAAATATTCTCATGCCAAAAATATTGAGAAAAATGATGCTAACTGATGAGATAATAATGGAAATGATGACTGGAAAACGAGCGATCCGGAAATTCATCTTTCTAAAATCAAAAATTCTGTGAACAAAAATGTTATTTTAATTATGATAAAATGATGAATTAGCAAATAATATAATTAATAAAAACTTCTATGAGGAAAAAAAAATAAACTGTGCATAATTTCAAATAATTAAAAATGAAAACCGAATCCTATAAATTTCATTTAGCTTAAAAAAATTTAAACAAAAAATCACAGTAGGAATGATTGTATGGAACTTAAAAAAAGATCATTATTATTTGATAAAACTATATTGTAAGTATACGGTAACATATTTAAGACATGAATTTAGCCTGTCACATCCAATTGACATTAAGCATTAGCAATCATATGGAAAAATGAACGAATGCATAAGGAATAATTTAAAATTTTCTTTCTAATCTAATAAAAATAACTTTTTAAGAATTTTCTTCGTTGGATGCAGAACTTTGATCCAAACTAATTATCAAAAAATTTTTAAAAGTTATTTATTAATTATCAGTTGATCGAATGTTCACCGTTGTCCTTCATGAAGTTGTTTCTATTTCATCCATGGTATTACTAGACTTCATAAGATCTTAATGATGCATTATTACCAAAAATTATTTCACTTGAGAATGTCACGATTGTTTTGAAGTCTTAATTGTTCAATTGTTTTAAATTCCTGATATTTTGAATGCATTCCCAACAATAAATCTACCTGCAACGACACTAGGAGATATGCTAAAAGAAATGAACCCACAAAAACTTAACATTCATAATTGCCATATTATTTCAAATAAAAATTTCATTAAACTCCCATTATGCTAAAGAGATTAATTTAAGATGAAATTTTAGCGAATTTCATAAAAATAAGAAGAGCTGCTAGAAGAGTAATCATAAGAATTTCTTAGCATAAAAAAAAAATAAAAAAAAAAAAACTCCTGAGATGTAGCCAAGATTTTATACCTGACAAATATACAATTTACTAAACAGAAATGTTATAACTTACAAACATATAAAAAAATAGCGTTACAATCAGATAATTTTATAATTATAATACCATCAAAATAATGCAGACCCAAGCAAAAATATTAATTATCTTTCTACCATAACTATTGAATAACATAACCAATGGATAAATAAATGCAAGTAAACAAAAAGTCACGGTGTTAGTACAAATTACATACAAAATATCAACATAAAGTATCTTTATTCGTCATTAGAACGAAAAAAGAAGCAAATTGTACATATTATATTTTCTAAGCTAGGCTCATGCACGTAACGTCAGTAAAGTTATTTCACATAAGTTTAACATTTTTACTGGTGGACCCCAATAATTCACACCAGATGACACGTAAATTTGAGTGTCTCTATTTTTAATTTTGTAATGTCCATATAAGAAATCATTCTTCAGATATGCAAGAAACCATACGATATAAAACTGTCCAGCATGTGTGTGCCCTAGAAAAATTTTTAGATATGTCAATATGAGAGTTAATATTGCAATTTCTTGTCTAATATTTTTCTCGCGTTATTTAATATAAGTCAATTTATTTTTATGAAAAGAAAAAAAGTCTAATGTTCATATCAGATATATATCACGCGTAAAATTGAGCTACATTTAATTGCAGGAAGTAGTTAATTGTCAACGTTGTACTCGTATCACTTAATCCACTAATATCAAAAAGACATGTGACATTAGAATGGTCTATTACAAGTAAGTGTTCATTCTATCTACATACTGACACTCTGACTCGCTTTTTAATATATGATATCAAAAATTTTCATGTTATGGAAATACTTTGAACAAAGTGCAAAGCTTTCCATGTAAAAAATTAAGACTATATCTGGAAATTCGCCTATAAAAATTTTAACTAAATTAAAGTTTACCTTAAACAAGATGAGATTAAATGATTTGTTGAAATCTATTAATTAAATTCGTCAAGAAAATATGCTTATTATTAATGACACAAAACAAATAAAATTATGAGACAAAAACTTTGGAAATAGTTTAAAAAAAAAATAAAAGAATTTTCTAACACTAATTTTCTCGCAATTTTTGTCTTAATACTAACCTGATAAAATCAAATCAATTCGTTTCTTAGTATTACGTAAAATTTTAGAAGCACCATTTGGTTGATGTACCAGTAATATCGTAGGTTGTGTCTCACTACAACCACTCAATGCACTTTCTGCATCCATATGATGATCAGAGATTCGAAGTTTCTCTAAAAACAAATAAATTATAATAAAATTAGAAATGAAAACGTGCAAATGATTTCAAGTAATTTTTCAGTTTTTTTTTTTTTTTTTCTTAAAACAAAGAACTGATGTCTCCCAAAGCCAAATGTACATGAGTAAAAAAAAGTTTTAATTACATGAGTAATTTAGAAAAGGTCAAAACAAAATCTTCTGGCAAAATAACGAATGAAGAATACCTGTGAAAAAATCATCCACACCAGCAACACAAATGCAATCACCGCTACTCGAACAGAGATTACGATTTTCGTTACGCAAAACAGTGATGTTAAATTTCGTCGTGAAATAATGTAACCATTCATTCGTATCACCATAATAGTATTCATGATTACCTACAAACATATATATATATATATATATATATATATATTTATTAAATAGCAAATTTGTATTAAAATGATATTTTAAAAAGAATTTTCTAACTATACAATTAAAGAGCGAAACATGAAACTGAAATATGAAACAAATTAAAAATTGAGTTCTTGAAAGCTTTCTTATAAAAAAATTTCCTCAAAACAAATCAAGCGTAAACTATTTACATGCATATTAACTTAAAAGTATGCTCGAATAAATATGCTATTTTAAAATTTCGTTATTTCATAAGTCGACATATTTCTACACATTAAAAACTGTTTCAAAAATCAGATAAAAAAAATCATGTAGAACTTCAGATTGATAGATCTTATTCATAGTCACATAGTGGATTAAACTACAGTGAATGAATTTGCTTGAATATGATGAAACAAGTTTGAAGTTTATCTTTATAGAAAGAAATTTCAAGCATCTCTAAATATTTGGAATAAATTTTCTAGACATTAAAAGAAAAAAAAAAAAAAAAAAAAAAAACATGAACTGACCAGTAACATAATAGACACCATACTTCGATCGTAATTCTGCTAGGGGCAAAGTAGGTTGTACCAAATTTGATAAGAATCCATCAACTAAATCACCGGAAATAGCCACCATATCTGCATGTAATGCATTTGTTTTTTCAACAATTTCTCTAACCCGTTTCTGATCAACGGTAGGTCCAATATGAATATCAGTTAGTAAAACGATAGTGAAACCATCAAGTGATGCGGGAAGGTCACGAATTTTTACATTTACCCGATTTATCTAAATGAAATAAGAATTAAGTTGGAGATAAAAGAAAAAAAAAAAAAAAAAGACATTTCTAGATGCATATTATTCTTTCACTTCACAAAAAAATATTCAATGTTCATTCCTGTACTAGCAAAAATTTGATGGAATAAATTATTTAATTTCATAAAAGAGAAAAAACCCTTTAACACAGCACTCCTTCATAAAAAGAAATTAGATTTCTCATTTATTTTTGTAACCCAATCTATCTTAATAAAAATAAATAATTAAAATTAATAGGAATAAATAAATGTTTATATGCAATAGTATTATTTGATACAATAACTTACCACTGGGGCTGAACGTGTAACAGCAAAACCAGTACCAGTTAAAAATAATGCCAGTAGAAGTGATAATACAGTGTTGAATTTTCTAGATTGAAAAATGGCAAAAAATTTTGGCCAAAAATTCCAACGTGAAGTTAGAAGTTCGACAACTACTAAGATCAGTAGGAAGAAACCCATATGCAAATATATTGAAAGACAGATAAAACTGAAGAAAAGCAAAGTCTTTTACCGATTATCATATAATAAATTTTAAATGTTTTCAATCTAATAAATAGGCTAGCAAAAAAAAAAAAAAAAAAATAAATTAAAAAAAAAAAAAAATTTATTCCCAAGTTTTCATTATATTACTGTTTAAAAAAAATTATATTATTGTTTCATTATACTATATTACTGTTCAAATTTTCATTATATTTTATATTATGTTTAGAACTAAAAATATGCCCAGAAATTTCATTCTATACATAGAACATTAGTTAACAGAAAAAAAAGTTTGAATCCTTGTTTTTGGGAGCATTTTGAATTGTATTATATTATATAGTCATCAGGAAAAGAAATAAAACTTACCATATGGTAGAAATTAAGCTGCTATCTGGTAAATAAATATAAAAAAATACTAGTGAAGCATGCGAAAAGAATATGCTGAGTAAAGTTGATGTTTTGAACAAGTCTTGCAATATGATAGCAATCGGTTGGACCAATCTAGAATTTAACTAGTTATTAAATTTCAAAATAATAAACTTTATAGCTAACTAATAAAGAATGGCATATTCAAATGAGATAGGAAATATTATCTCAGCAAATTATTAGTTAGTTCTATTTCTTTATAATCAAAGCAAGAAAGAACATTCCTTTGCAAACAAAATATTACAGGTCAATAGAAGAATAAATTGGTATGATCCTTCCACTTATGATTGCTCTTTCGTTTTTTTTTTTTTTTTGTTATACATTGCTTCGCACTCCTTAATTTGTTAAGAAAATATGTCATTGACTCTTGAAATTTCAGTCCATATTCAAATAGAATTTCAATCAACTGGTTAGCAATGAAGATGATGCATTATACTGAAGCAGCAGAAGAAGCAGCACAGTATCAACAAACAACAACTACTACTACAATAATAATAACAATAACAGCATGCTAAATCAGTCTAAATAACTACCCGCAGTCTAATAGGAGGTAAATTAAACAAAACAGTTTGACGGTCGACATCATACATCTTCTTTGTAAGATACGTGTAACATTCTTTCTGATGAACGGCGACTATGTGTTGCAAAAAATTATGGGGATGAAATGCAGAATTATCAGGAAACTTTCACCCACTTTATTTTCCTAAAATATTTCATTCAAATTTGACTACCACAAGCACATCCAATTATACATATAATTAACACCACTGTTTAATTTTGATATGTTTTATATGTTAGCTCAGCAATAAGCATATTCGAAAAAAAAAAAAAAAAGAAAAAAAAAGAAGAAAAAGAAAAGAAAAACTTAATAATGCAACAATAATATACACAAATAGAGAAATAAAAAAAAAAGAGAGAAAAAGCTTACTCTTTAATTCTGCCATAAATGATAGATGAGATCATACACATAACCAATTGTGCAGAGAACATATCATGAAATCTGCATAGTTGTGCATGATATATGCCATTAGCTCGAACTCTCATTAATATGAGACATCCTTGAATTGCTATTACTAAAGCTATAAATTTCTTATTCATCCAAAGGTAGCTCTTTCCTTCATTTATCATTATTCCTTTCACTTAAAGTTCTGAAACAAGAAAGAAAACAATGTGACGAAAATTTGCTGAATTTATGAAATAAAACTAAAATATAAAATTAAATTAGGAAAGATCTAAATATAAAAATTATATCTTTAGGAAGTATATGCAAGTTGGTTTATGATATTATTTGATATTATTCATGTGATATGAATAAAGGTCATATGATAAATATAAGATAGGTCACATGACATATAATGATTATAGGGTTTTCGTCAATAATTCTTCCTTAGATTATATTCACTTAAATTTTAGCAAAATCTCACGAATTAATCTTAAACATAATTTTTTTTTTCTTTTTCCACAAACTTTTTCATAAACATGCATACACACAAATAATTTTCCATATTTTAATTTCACATAAGCATAAGGGATTTTAAGAAATTAAAAAGGAAAAGACAAGAAAAAAAAAAGAAAGAAGAAAACTTTTCCGAAATCATAACTGTTCTACCATAATTAATTTAAGTATGCTATATAATATAATTATTTGACTGTTCAAATGATTAAGACATACAATTACATTAAGACATACAATTATACAATTACATACAATTACAATTTCACTACTCAAGTAATAAAGTCAAAAATTAAAAATTCATTTAAACTGGAAAACATTTCATTTTATTACCTTATTACTAAACAAATAATTTGCTATACATTACTTTATATATTTCATTCTCCTTTCTCAATTCATCACACACTCTATCATCTCTTATCATATCTATTAAGTTTGTTATTTCTTTTACTTCTCATAGAATATACCATTCATCTTTATTCTCATTTATAATCTCTTCATTCTCACATATCAATTAGAAATTCTTCTCAAAACTACCTTAACTTCTAAAAATTTCCAAAATAATTTCTAAAATATCATTCGAGTTCTATAATCATCTCTAATTTACACTCACTCCGCACTCTATCCCTACTACTCAACCATTATCACTCAACCATTACCACTCAACCTTATCACTGGACCCGCTCTTATCAGTCAGTCATCTCTTCCTTTCGTTTTTTGGAACCAGAAACCATGATGAAATGAAATATGACGCAGACGCTATGAAACAGTTTGTATCACAGGATGGAGGATGACATAGTCATACTTTATAATCTGGAAAATTCATCATTTATAAATTTTGCATAGTACAAATTATTTTTGTATAAATAATCCAAATTGAAAATAAAAAAATGTTTTCTTTTTAAATAAAATATTAGCAAATTTAAGATGAAAAAGAATTTATTAGTTTCTGAACGTATCAATAATACAAAATTTATTAAATGTACTACTATTATATTTCATTGATAGTGTTAATTTTTTTTTTTAAAAAAAAAGAAAAAAAAGCAAAGAAAGAAAGGTTTGTTGCAAAATTATTTAAAATTATTTTAGAAAATGAAAATTTGGAAGAAAAATACTGAAAGCATAGAATTGAATTGGAATTGAAATAAAATATGAAAACAATGAGAATTATACAATTTTAATAATCAAATGATTTTTAAATATCTATTATTTTAAAAGATGGATTAAACTATCACTTCTGAAATGTTAGAGATTTTTTTTTTTTTGAAACCAAAATTAGATGAAATATAATAAAATAATTTGAATCAAAAAAGAAAGAGGAGAACATAACCTTATTTATAACTTGAAATATTCGTAAGTAATTATAATTAATTGCAATTAATTCAACGTAAAATAACGAAAAACTTATGCATAACGAAATATTTGAAATTCAAATTTAAAAACTTTCATAAAATTCTTTTTTTTCTTTAATCATTCATTAATAGTAATTTTGTTTTATTATTTATTTTTTATATGGGAACATATTTTTCTAGAAATTACATATTCTTATCATTTTTTTTTGTAGCAGATTATATAATTAAAACTATTCAGGTATTTTATTTAAATTAGTTTTGAAGCAGATTAATTCTGAATTATTCAAATTTGTTTATTTGTTTTTTTTTTCTTTTTTTTTAAATCTACTTGTTAACTCTAACATTTTTTGATATTTCAAATTGTATTTTGTTTGAAAATGAATAAATCTGCAGCATATGAAATAAAATTTACAAAAATAAATCAATTTATTTGATTAATTAATTCATTCTAATCTTTTTTAATATTCACAAATATTAAATTAAATTCTTTACATTCTGCATCTGAGTTTATTTTCTATTAGGCATTTGTCTTTTTCTTCTTTTTTATGGTTCAATTCGGAATTTTTTATCATTCCGATCAGTTTTCGATCAGATCACATTGCATTCACCTATTTTATTAACTAAAATTAAAAATTATGCAAAATTATAACCTAACTGAAGATAAAACTTTAATGTTTATCATAAATTACAATAATAAATTTTGAATTTGATTTTAGAATTGATTTATCATGAAGTAATTTGCGTTGAAATTATTAAAGCTAAATTATAAAACGTTAAAAAATGGCTAATTGACTTGCTAAATAAATCAAATTTTGTTTTTTGATCATATTTTGAATCTAATTTTGCTAAAAATGCTAAATGCATTACAAATTTTGCTGTTGCTAAGCAACCATATTGTTCCATTAATAAATATTGATTTCATTTTAGTTTAAGTATTTTATCTTCTTTAAACAGAAAAAATAAATAAATAAATAAAAGGGATAAAGTTTTTGATAAACAAATTTCTAACCATATTTTTATTAAATTAAGAATAATCATATAAAAAAAAAATCAGTTAATAATTTATTAATATAAATATGAATAAAATTTGTGTGATTTATTTTTTACTTTTTTTTTTTTTAGAAATTTTATTTTTATTAATATTTTAATTTTAATAATTATAATTCAGAATTTAATGGATGATTGCGATGGACCAAATACATATATTGCAACAAAATCAAAAATAATAGCTGAAAAAGTTAATACTGCAATATTAACTGATCCTCGACAATATCGACATCAAGGTTTTCCTTTTTTTTTTTGTTTCTAATTTTTTTCAATTTTTTAAATAATTTAAAAAAAAAATTTTTTCTACTCTTTTATTAAAGCATTTTTTTTGTTTCTTTTGCTAATATTTATTCATCTTTCTAATTTTTTTTTTTTTTTTTTCATTCTTCCATTACAAATATTTGTTTATCTGAAATTCATTTTGAATATATTTCAATGAAATTATCTATTTTGTTAGAAATGAAAAAAAAAAAGGAAAATTCTTTTTCAACTTTAATTTTTTAGATTTTGAGTAAATTTCAATTAAATTCAAATATAAGAAATAATATTTAAATTAAATTAATTAAAAATTATTATTAATACTATTGTTATTATTATTACTGTTATATTATCACAATTATTGTTATTACTATTATTATTAAAAATATTTCTAATATTATTATTATTATTACTATTGTTATATTACTATTATTATTATTATTATTGTTGTATTATTATTATTATCATTGCTATTATTATTATTACTACTATTACTACTACTGTTATTAATATTACTAATTTTTTTTGCTTAAATTTAAAATAATCAATTTTTTTCCTTTTTTTAGGAACGGATGCAATGCAATGTGTTAGTATTGGTGTACAAACTGAGCAATTCTCATCTTCCATAAGTAATACCACTTTAAAAGGTAATATTAGTAATGAAATTTTGAATTTATTATTGGAAACAGTGAAAAGTAATAATGAAGAATTGAATATTCTTGGACGATTGAACATTTTCCATCGTACTGATTCGGTGACATTATCAATGATAAAACAATATCAATTATCACAGGTTATTACTAAATTTATTTATTCATTTTGTTATTTCAAATTATTAATATAATGAAATTAGTTTAAAAATGGTCAACGAGATGAAATTAATTTATTTTTACTTTTACTCAATTTAACATAAATAATATTTGCATTAAAATTTATTTTCATTTCCTTTTTCCATCTCAACAATAATCTTTATATTAACAAAAGAAAAGAAAAAAGTTTAATTTTTATTTAAATAGTAAAAAAAAAAAAAAATACTAATAAAAATTTAGAAAATGGAAAATTTCTTATTTAACAAACAAAAAGGAAGAAATTTCTTAACATTTGTATGATAGAAAAAGAATAAAATATATTTTTCATAATTTTTCTTTAAAATCATACATTAATTTAATTAATAAATTTTTTGAAGAAATATTTTTTAAAAAATTCTTATTTAACAAATAAAAAGGAAAAATTTATTTTTAATTTGCATAATAAAAAAAAAAAAAATATATTTTTTAATCATACATTAAATTTTAATTAATAAATTTATGAAAAAATTATTCTTAAAAAGAAATTCTTATTTAACATATAACAAAAAAAAAAGAAAAACACTTGTAATATATTTTTCATATATATATATATATTTTTTTTTTAAAATCATGTACTAAATTTTAATCAATAATTTTGTTTTAAAAAACATCACACTTTAAATTTTAATTAATAATTCTTTAAAATCATACATTAAATTTTAATTAACAAACTTTTAGAAGAAATATTTCAAAACAAAAAGAAAAATCTTATTTATCAGATAAAAAATGTCATACACTAAATTTTAACAGATAAGAATGAAAAATTTATTTGTTGTTTGCATAACAAAAGAAAAAAAAAAAGCAAAATATATTTTTCATATTTTTTTTTTTTTATAAATCATAAATTAAATTTTAGTTAACTTGTTTTATAAATTGTACATTAAATTTTGATTATTTTTTTTGCATATTATATACTAAATTTTAATTCATTTTTTTATAAATTATATATTAAATTTTAATTAGTTTTTTTTTTTATGAATGATACATTAAATTTTGGTTAGTTTTTTTTTTTTTTTATATATTATATACTAAATTTTAATTCATTTTTTATTATAAATTTATATATTAAATTTTAATTAGTTTTTTTTTTATAAATTATATATTAAATTTTAATTAATAAATTTTTAGAAAGAAAATTTACCACTACACAGCATCGTTTGTGGTCCCAATGAACGCATAGCATTTTTATTTGCTAGTAAATACCACAAAACGTGGTGCTCACATAATGGTACCATTGCATTGTGGCAACGATATACTATGATTGAACATTTGGTACTTTCCAGTTGTCCAACAATTCTTCGGTAAATAATTTCAAATATTTTATCTTTTAAAATTTCAGTAATTTTCGAGCAATTAATTTACAAATCATAAAGTTATGGCACTTTTTTTTTTTTCTTTTTTAGTCAAAAATTTAAAATTATATATTAAAATTTTGATTTTTAATTAAATAAAATTTGAAAATAAATAATAAAATTTTGTTTAAAATAATGAAAAATTTTATTTACAGCTATGGTCCACATGGTTTAATAGCAGTAGGTTTAGTAACAGGTCATATTTTAATTATTTTAAATGGTGAAATATTATCAATAAATGAGGTATTTTTAAAATTTCAAAGATTTTATTTTATTTATTCATATAATAAATGAATTTACTTTTTTTTTTTTTTTTTTATTAATCTATTATTACTTTTTTTGTAATTTCAGAAGCATAATTTAACAGTTTTAGCAAATTAATTATTAATTGTGGTAAAAATAATTTTTGACTATAAAGAAAAAAAGTTTTATGAAAAAAAGTATTGTTAAATTAAATTTTCACTCATTATAGAATATGTAAATTATGTAAAAATTAAAAAAAAAATTAAATTCAATTCAATTTCAGGCTCATACTTTATCAGTAACATCACTGGAATGGCTTTATCACCTACAGCAACTTATCTCAGTATCATTAGATGGTCGAATTATCATTCATAAATTAAAATCGACAGTACTGGAAGTGAAATATTCTAAATTAATAACTGCTTTAAATCTTCCTCGTAATATTCGGAAATCAAATTTATCAACTAAATACATCGGTAAAGTATTTTTTTTTAAAAAAAAAGGAAACTCGGGAATTAAAATACATCAATTAGATATATTGGTAAAATAGTTTTATAAAAAAAAAAAAAAATACCATCCAAAATTAAAATTAATAACTAATTGAAATCTTATCATTTCTATAATATCTTAAAATCAAATATAACAATTAAACAAATGAAAAATCTCATTTTTTAAATCAATAATTCATCATAACTTTTCTTTTTCATTTATTAAATAAAAAATAAAACAAAATATGTGATAAAATTTGTTATCACTAATTTGCTATATCATTCGTTGTTTAAATTTAGATTTAAATTTAAATATTAAGTAAGAAAAAAAAAGCATTAGCGATGTATATATTTGAGTGAAAATAAAATTTAAAAATTTAATAAACTAATTTGCAAAATTTTCATTTAATGATGATAAAAAAATAAATTTTATTAGGTTTGACATCATTATTTGTTATCAAAGATCGATTAATTATTGGCAGTGAAATAGGCGCTGTTTGGATTGTGACAATTCCAAATTTAACAATCACTTTGCTTCATTATGAAATTGATTGTATTGAAACTGTCGCATATATTTCAAATTATACTATTATTACAACAACTTCTCATAAAGTATGTTTTTTTTTTTTGATTTTTTAAATTTTTCAAAAATAATTCCTTTGATCTGAAATAATTTTTATTTATTTATTTATTTTTTTTTTTTACAATACTAAAATAAATATTTCATTTAAGAGAGAAAAAAATTTTCGAATATTGTAAAATAATTAATAATTAGATATAGCAAAAAATAAAAAATTTTATTAAAAAAATTATTAAAATTATGCAAATATAATTTAAGTTTTTTTTTTTTTTTTTTGCTTTTTTAAATTAATGTAGTTTTTTTCTTCAAATAAAATTTTTTTTTTTATTACATTTATTGTTTGAATCGAATTTCATTTTCAAACAATATATTCATATATTACAATTAATTATGTTATGAATTAATAAATTCATTTTACAAATTTAATTAATAAAAAATTTTTACATGAAAAATTGCATAATTTATGCTAGCTATTAGTAATAATTAAGTTAGAAAAAAATTCAGTATTAAGATTATTAAATGATAAAATAATTTTAGTTTGAATACTTTTCTCTCTCTTTTTTTTTAAATTTATTATCTTACATTTGTAGCAAATTTTGGCAGATTTTTGTTTTTTTTTTTAAATTACAATTAAATGTGTAAATTAATTAATGAGAAATTTATTGCAATAATTAATTTAATCAACAAAAATGTTTTTTTTTTTTTTATTGAAATTTCAGGGTTTAATCATAACTGGAAATGGTACATTAACACGTATTTTAGATATTCCAATTCAGAGTGTTTCAATTAAAAATGCTAATTTAATTATTTGTGGTAGCAATGAGCAAATATGTGCAATTCAACTTGATGATTTAAAAATTTTAATGAAACAAACATTTGCATATGAAGCATTTACTGTTGTCCCCAATGATGATGCATTAATTGTAGTGGACAAACAATTATTGGTCACTTTGTATCGAATTAATATTAATCAATGATTACTTAATCATAAATGTTACTTTTAATAAATAATAAACATTAAAAAAGGAACGAAAAAATTTTTATGAATGAAAATTTTTAATTAATTAAAAAAAAATAAAGATTAAATTAATTAAAATGCATTCATTTATTGACTAATGCATGAATTAATTAATTTTAATGAGTGGAAATTTTGACTAAATTAATTAAAATATGTTCAATGATTGACTAATGTATGGATTAATTAATTTCAATGAATGAAAATTTTGATTGAATTAAATTGAAATGTATTCGTTTGTTGATTAATTATGGATTAATTAATTATTAATTGTAAAATATTCCATTTATTGATTAGTGCAAAGATTAATTAGTTTTGATTAAATTAATTGTAATACATCCATTTATTAATTAACGATTTTAATTAATTAATTAAAATATAAATTTGTTTGTTAATTTAAGTATGTTGCAAAATAATTTATTGCAAATTTAATTAAAATTCTTATAAATTATTTTGTTAAGCTTTGATAAATTTCATCGCAGAAAATGCTATTCTAATATTTATAAAATAAAAGATAATATTAAATAATTATTGAAATTTTGTCCAAATTTTAATTTAAAGAACAATTTAATGTCTATTTACAATGAAATTAAATAACAAAAATAATTCTACCTTATTTCATATATTCTTTTAATATTTATTTTTTTTTTTTTTAAATAAATTACTTTCTTTCATTAGAAATAATTTCATAAAAAAAAAAAAGAAAACTAAGTTTGATTTTTCATATAATATTGTAACATTTCTTGTTTTCTTTAAAAAGAAAAGAAAGTTTATTTTTGCGCTATAAAAGAAAGAAATGTACGATAATTAATCTAAAATAATTTGTAAACACATTTCAAATTGTATTTTTTATTTGAATGCATTAATTAAAATATATAATAGAATGTGCTTAAGTAAAAAATAAATATGAGGGAAGCAAATAATTGTTAAAAATAATATTTTAGGTATTTTTAAAAAATTGAAATAAATATTTCATATAGATGATCAATTAATTCTTCACTTTAAAAAAAATTTTAAATAAATTGAGCGAAAAAGAAAAAAAAAAATTCGAATATTATTTTTATATTTTTACAATTTCATATTGTTTTTTGTTTACTTTCAAAATATATTATTCCTAAAAAATCAAAAAAAAAAAAAAAAAAAAATAAACAAATAAACAACATCAAACAAAAAATGCATTTACCAAAATGCATTTTAAAATAAAATACATTCTTCCTAATCATTTAATTGAAATTTTTTTTTCTAAAATTTTAAAAGTGAAATTTTAAGTTTAAAATTTAAATTTAAGCTTTTTTTAACAAAATTTCCGATAAATCAACTGGTTTATTTGACTGAAAATTCATTAATGCAAATAATTCATCATCTGTTTTTGCAATTTCCTGATCCAGAAATGTCCAAAGTGCAAGCGTTTGCAGATAATACGGATGATTGAGACCAAAACATACTTCAAATATGCTCATCGCTTCATATGCATATGATACAGCCTAAAATTTAAATTATTTAAATTTATTTTTTTAAATAATATATTTAACATTTATGTCCAAAAAAGGAAGAAAAATTGAAACCAAAAGAATTTAATTAGATAATTAAATAAATTATCTTTAAAAAAAATTATTAATAAATTAGATGAATGTTTTATTATGAATATTTGTAGGTTATAAATTGAATTAAATTAGTGGTAAATGAAATTAAAAATGAAATTTACCTCTTTTCGTTCACCTTTTTCAATAAGTGATTTAACAATTTTTAATAACTGATATGCAAGGTGTCGATCGGATCGTGGAAAACATCTGAAATGAAATAATTATTATCGTTTAATTAATTTTTTATTGTTTTTATTTTTATTGCTTACGTTCAATTAATTTTTTTTTTGCCTTTTTTTTTTTAATTAATTGAGTAATTAATTTATTTTTAATTAAACACTTTTAAATATGTTAGCTGTTAGTATCAATTTTTTGATTACTTCGCCTACTTTTGTTTTGTTTTTTTTTTTTCCTTTTTTTCTTTTTTTAATTTCTATTATAAATAAACTTTTGATTTAAAATTAATTTCATAATTTTGAATGAAAATTTATTGTTGAAAAGAAAAATGAAAAAATAAAATTGTGTAAAAAGCATGTAAATTCAATATATCAATTTAAAACTAAAAAAATAGATGATGAATTAAGAAAAGATAACATTTTAAAGCTAAAAATAAATATTTAATTTTTGCAATTATTTTAAAAAATGAGTGATAAATTAAAAAAGAAAGTATACTTATATGCATTATTTGTTTATTTATTCATTCATTTAAATTTTTGCATATTTTTTTTTTTTTTTTTTTAAAAAAAAATATAAAAATGAAACTTACAATCTATAATTTTCATAAACACTTTTTTGAATGAAAAGTAAATTATCATTAAGTGTTCCAGTGAAATGAAGAAGTGCAGCTTTCAATCGTGTCACATAAACATTCTTCGTATGCAAATATTTCATTGCTTCATTAAGTTTTTCTTTAATCTATAATAAATAAAACTTTTTGTTTGTGTGTATTTTAAAATATTTTTAATACTAAATAAAAATTTAATTTAAACAAAAAAAAAAAAAAAATGAGAAAAAGAAAAAAGAAAAATTAAATTTAAATTTATTAACATACATTTTCAGTGCTACAATTAATGTCAAATTGTATCGGAAGATTAAGCATTAATTGTTGACATATTTTAATATGATTTGCATCTGTAATTTGCATACATTTTGAGCATTTAATATCGATTGGTTCAGAAATTTCAGTTATAATTAATGCTTCATCGCATAATTCATTTTTACAACGTATCGATGTTAGGATAATATCTGATTGATCCATGCATCGATCACATTGACAATCAAAATACCTATAATAAAATTTTATTTCTATTATTTATCAATTTTTAATCAATTAATTTTGATGAGTGAAGATTTTGACTAAATTAATTAAAATATGTTCACTGATTGACTAATGTATGGTTTAATTAATTTCAATGAATGAAAATTTTGATTGAATTAAATTGAAATGTATCCATTTCCATTTGTTGATTAATTATGGATTAATTAATTATTAATTATAAAATATTCCATTTATTGATTAGTGCTATGATTTATTAGTTTTGATTAATGAAAATTATGATTAAATTAATTGTAATACATCCTCTTTCAATCATTACTAATTAATTAGCACTATTTTTTTTTTAAAAAATGTTATAAAAAATTTTAATTTTTGAATGTAAATTATATGATTATATTTTTTTTTTAAAAAATGTTATAAAAAATTTTAATTTTTGAATGTAAATTATATGATTATATGATAAAATTGACTTAAATATTACCGAAAATAATTGTATCATTTTATTATCGATTTATCAAAATTTTTAATCATATTTTAAATCTTTTAATCATTTTTTAAAATCATTACTAATTGATTATTCCTATCTTTTAATAAAAAATGTTATTAAAAAAAGATCAAAATTTCGAATGTTAATTATATAATTATATGGTAAAATTGACTTAAATATTACCGAAAATAATTTCTATTTCATTGTCATCAATTTGTCGAAATTTTAATCATATTTCATATTCATATCATTATAAAATTATCATTGTATTTCTTTTAAATATTACTATTTAATTATTTGAAGATAGTAAAAATTAATTAGTAATATTTAAAGAAATGTTATAATGAATTTAAATTTTTTATGTGAATTTTATAAACACATAATAAAATTTATCTTTTTAAATATTTTCAAATAAAAAATATTATTGTTAATGTTTAATCATTTCCAATAATTATTTCATTTTAATAATTAAAATTGCTATTATATGCAAAAAAAGGCAAATAATACACGTAAATACCATTTTGATTTAAGTTGTTTTTGACGTTGATAACGTGAACAGCCAATGTCAATGTAACTAATACGTGCTACATGCAAATCAAAAACGTTTGTTTCTGAAGTTAACGGTCTTAGATAAGCGTGAAATCCGTCAAAAACAAGCGAGCAATTTGGACGACAGGAATGATCGTATGCAGAGACACCTGAAATTAAAATGAAATTTTAATTTATTAACTGAATAAGAAAAAAAAAAAAACTAAATAAATTTATTTACTTTTATTTTTCTGATTTTTTTTTTTTTTTTAAAGCAAAGAATTTTTATATTGCATTATTAAATTAATTTCTAGTTCAAAAAAAGTTAATAGTTAAAGAAAAGTTTCTTAAATTCAATTAACTTCTACCTCCTTTTTTTTTTCTCTCTCTCTCTCTCTTTGCTTTTCTCTCTTACTTTTGTTTTGTCTTTAATGTCATATAGAATTTTTCTTCTTTTTAAATCTAAGAATTTTTTTTTTTAAAAAAAAGTAGACAAGAGAAAAGAAATAAATGTCAGTTGAATTTTCATATTTCTAATATTTATTTCTTACGTTTATAATTAACTAATTAATGAGCAATTTAAAATTACAATAAATAAAAATAAAATAAAAAATTTCATTTAAAAATGTATAATTTTTAGCAAATGGAAGAATTTAAATGAAACAAATTAATATTTAGAATAAACTTAGGATAAGTAATTACCTATTTTTTATATTTACCTAAAGAATAAGTAAAAGTTTTTTTCAAAAAAAAAAAAATTAAATAAAAATAATAAAAACCTAAATCAAGTGCTAAGCCAATTTCATCGCCAGCATTTGTATGTATTGAATGTGAATTAATTGTTGTTTTACAAAAAATTTCATAAAATTTCTCTTTTTCAATCATTTCATCTTTTCGAAATTTTGCCATTCTTTCATAAATTTTTTCAAAATGTGCATATTTAAGCTGAAAAAATTCCTTTTTTTTTTAAATTAAATTTTTAAATTATTTATTTTTTATTTTTTATCATGAAAACATTTTATATTAAATTATAAAAATTTCTTTTTTCGTTTTTGTTTTTTACATCTTTTTTTTTTTTTTTAAAAAAATTATTTTAACAGTATGATAAGATAATAAAAATTAATTTCAAATTTTAATTTTATTACCTTATCATTTCGAATATCATTTTCATGTCCCATTAAATCTGTCCATTTCCTACTTTTTTCCCATTTATATTTGTCACCAAATTGCTCTAACAATAATATCCTATCAATTATGCGACTGAGAAATAACACCTCAGAAAGTGGCAAATTTGGAAAAACCATTTTTAAACGTTGACATTCCGCGCGATGATGTTTTTTCCATGCCAAACGTTGACATTCCTTAATTTTTTTTTTTTAAAAGTAAAAAATAAAAAATTACACTTTAATTTTTTTATATTTTTAGCTAAAATTAAAAAAAAGAAAATCAGTTTACATTAAAAAAGAAAGACAAATTTTTGTTTTTTGTATAAAAATCATAAAAATTTCAATAAAATTTTAAATGGAAAAAAAATGACAAATAATTATTTTATATTTTATAGTAAAATTAATTAGTAAAAGTTTTTTTTTTTAATTCTCATTTTGAATTTAATGAAATTTTTAGATTAAAAATATTTTGTAACAGTTATAATTAAAAATATATATATATATATATATTTAATTATTACTTATCAGTGAGATTATAGATTAATGATTAGCAAAATATTATAATCATAATAATAAAACAAACATTATTATTATTATTATTATTATTATTATTATTATTATTATTATTATTATTATTATTATTATTTTTTATTATTTATTATTATTATTATTATTATTATTATTATTATTATTATTATTATTATTATTATTATTACCTTATTGCAATATCTTGCTAATTCACATTTTGCACATTTATAAAGTTTGCCATTATCAGATTTTCTTAAGCAATGAGAACAATACTTTTCCACCTGATAATTTAAGCATATATAAGCAAATGGTTCATCAAAGTAACGTATACGCTGATAAATATTATCAGGTGCTCTTGCATTTGTTATCATCGCGTTGATATGCTGAAATGATAATATTGATAAAATGAATGAATGAATGAATGAAATAATAATTTATATAAATTTATTTTATAAATTATTTTTTTGTCGTTTTATTCTCGACTCTTTTTTTTTTTACTTAATTTTATTATCAAATATTTACTTTTTATTATTGTTTTTTTAATCGAATAATTTGTGTTAATTCAGTAAAGTGAAAATATGACAACAAAAGAAAAAAAAAATTTTAGTATAAATAAGTTATCAATTATTTTTCCAACAATTTTATGTTCATTTACAATTAAAATTATTTTGTTATTGAGTTTTTTTTTTTTTTCCGACAACTAATGAAAATAACGTATAAGCTAACAAAACGTGTAAGCTGACGTGGTCGTATCCGTAATTCATAATTATGTCTTACGTATGATTAACGTTACATTAAGTTAAACAACTGTAACAGAATTTGTTAAGTGAAATTTTTTCATGGAAAAAAATCCAGACAAAAAAGTTTTAATTTTAATTTTAGTTGCAAATTTTTTGATGAAAACAAAAATTCTTTGAAATTATAACAAATTATTCAAAAATTTGTTGAGTGAAAAAAAAATGTGTAATCTTTCTTATTAAATATAAGTAATAATAAAACAATTTGGAGAATTATTCATTATTTTTCATGCATAAAAATTCTTTCTTAGAAAAAAATAATAAAAAGTTTTAAATTTGAAAAAAAAAAATGAAAAATGAAAAAAATTCGCATAAAATAAAATTAAATGAAAGATTTAAAAGAGTTAAATGTTAAGTGAATATTTTAAAGCATTTTGTTTCAATTTTACATTCATTTTTCATTTTAAATACTTTTCTTTTTCATTCGTTTTTCTTCCAGAATTCTTGAAATTTTTATTTTCAAATAGCAAAAGAATTTATTTATTTATTTTTTTTTTTTTGTTTCTTATTTGTTTTATTTTTGCTAAATTTTTATGAATAATAATAATAAATATTATTGGATGGAATTATTATTATTTCATCAAGAAATTGATAAAAAAAAGTGTTTTTTTCTTTTGAATTATATAGAATTTTAAATCCAAAAAGAAACTTTCTTTTATTTATCTTTTTATTATTTTTTTTTTTTTTTTTTGTTGAGTTTTTATGAATAACAATAATAAATATTATTGAATGTTATTTTTTTTTTTTTGAATACATTAAATAATATTTATTCATTAAAAAAAAAAGGAAAGAAAAAAACGAACGTAAAGCAAAAGTTAAAAAATAAAACGAAAACGAAATTGAAATGAATCAATTGTTTAAGTTAAACATTACTTTGCTAGCATTTGTAAAGTTGTCTGTTCAAAGTTTACACAATTTTAAAAATTGAATGTAAGCTCTTAAAACTAATATAATCGATCAATGAACATTTGCACAAATCGATTTTAACAACTGCTAAAAATGAAGCATTATATTAAAATTGATTAAATTTTCACTTAAATTGATAAAAATTAATTTAAATTGATAAAAATTAAATTTTCACTTTACAATTAAAAATATTCATCGATTATCGATTTTTTCTCTCTTCCTTTCATTTGATCAATTTATTCCTACAAAATAAATCATTCATAATCATTTCCAATTGATAGTAAGTAGTAAATTTTATAGTCTTTTTAAAAAAAAAAAAATATTAAACAATAAAATGTTTTAATTTGATTTATATTTGGATGATGATTTTACGGTATTTTGTGTGTATGAAAAATTGAAGTATTATTGTATTTTTAAAAGATTAAATAGGAAAATTTTCAATTAATATTTATTATACACCGAAACTTTACCATAATTCATTGCCATTAAAAAGAATCATATCGTGAAAAGCTAAGTTTTTTTTTGAATTATTAATAACAATAATAACACATTTAATAATAATAATAATAATAATAATAATAATAATAATAATAATAATAATAATAATAATAATAATAATAATAATAATAATAAAATAATAATAATAATAAAATAATAAAAAAAAAAAAAAAAAAAAAAAAAAAAAAAAAAAAAAATAATATAATAAATGAAAATTAGTAATAATAAATAAATAATATTAATAATTAATAATCATAAGTATGGTTATAATTATAATGAATAAAAGAATAATAATTTAAAATAATAATAATGTTTCAGTTATAATCAATTTTAAAATTATATTATTTACTCATTGTTCTTTATTTACTATTCCAATTACAAATATACATAATCTATCGATTACTGTCAGTCGAAAATTTTTTCAAATTTGATAGCAATATTAATTTATTCCATCTTTAGTAATAGTTTTATGATATTTGCTGTGATTGTTGAGAATTCATTTGAGCATTGTCAATTTTAAGCATTGAAATAATATTTGGAGTTAAATTTATTTGTTAGCAATGATAGTAGCAGTAGCTAAAGGATTTGAATGACAAAAGCAAAGCGAAGACACAATCATTCGACCATCTGTTTAATCCATTCATCCTTGTACACAACAAAACCGATTTGAAATGGCATTAGTTTACCATTCCATCAATTCATGCAACATATAAATAATCTGCATAATACCAATATCTTATTATCATTATTATTTACCATCATTCTTATTATTTAGTACTTGTTATTATTATTATTATTATTATAAAATAAGCAAATTAATTAATTAATTGCATATTAATTTTTCATGATGGAAACTATTTGAAATGTTTTTTTTTTACAATTTTTCACTCTTTTATTTTATTTATTTATTTTATTTTATTTATTTAAAAATTTTATTTATTTATTTATTTTTTACTACAATTAGAAGAAAATCAAATTTTATTATATTCTCTTTTCGCTGAAAAGTGTTAATTTCATGCTGAAAATATTGACGTCAATTTCAAAATGAATTGATGTGCACTTGAATGAATGAATGAATCATTCATTCATTGTCAATTATCAAAGAAATTGACATATACTTTAAAAATGAGTCATTGTTTACTCATATGAATGAATGAATGATTTATTCACAATTTATTAAATTAAAGTAAACGAAAACAAAGACATATTTATTTTTTATTTTCTCAAACAAAAAAGACTAAAAAATTAATGAATAAATGATAAAATCAATTATCATTATCAATTGAATATCAGTGATATAAACAATAATAAATTGAATATATTTATAATAATTACTACAAGTAATATTATAATTATTTCAAATATAATATTACTTTTATTTCTATTTTGAACTTTTCTAAATTTCAATTCATTTCGATAAGTAAATTCAAGTATACTATACGATCATATTAATTAATTAAATCAACTACATATGTATTTATTTTTTTATTCATTTCAAAATTAAAAAAAAAAAAAAGGAATTAAATAAATTTAAATGAAATAAGCATTCACTGAAAATTTTGCTTCCCTAATTTTCCGCTATAATTTTTACTCATTTTTTGTTATTTGTAAAAAAAGAAGGAAAGAAAAAAGAAAAAAACATTATCATTAGTTGAGAAAAGAACATCTGTTTCTTTTCAAGTTTATATGCATGCGCGCATGCATGCATGCATGCAACCATGTGTGCATGTACATATGTGCGTGTATGTATCCATCTGTCAATGCAAATAGTTTGTTGAAAAAGAAAAAAGTTTTATTATCCGATCGGTCACTTCAAACTCTTACAATTGCTACTTCTACATGCCATCTGTTATTTTACATCACATTTAAATTCCTGGATTTTAAGTATATAATTTAAAAAATTGAAAGAAAAAAAAAAGAAAAGGAAGAAAAACTTGTTCTTTTTCATTTTCAAATAATTTTTAAAATTTCATTTACAAAAAGAAAAGAAAAAAATGTTTTTTTCATTTTGTTAATTAAAATTAAAATATTTAAATTAGACATTGTATGTTTAAAAAATTTCATTTAATAAGTAATGAAATATTTTGAAATGAACATTAATCAAATTGTTTATTTTGACAAAAATATTTATTAGAGAAGAAAAAACAAATAATATATTTTGAAATGATTTATAAATATTTATTTTGTTACATATATATTTAATGAAATAATTTATTAATATTCATTTCCTTATATACATATTTAACATTTTAACAATATTTGTTCCTTTTTTTTTTTAATTTCTTAATTTAAAAAAAAATTAATATACAAATACCTGTTGCATATGAAGCAATATTTTGATAATAATATACAAATAAAGAAGAAATTTCGGGATCTCTCTCTCCCTCTCTCTCGAGATTTTTTTCGAGATCTCTCTCTCCCTCCTACCATTCATTCATCCATTATATATTTTATATTTTATGCAAATTTAAGGAATAAAAATATTATATCGTTGCTATTTATCATCAAATATACGAAGTTAAAAGTGATAATTGTTGTCGCATACATCAAAGGTATTCAAAAGTATTAACCAATTACCAGCCATTTTCTCATCTCATTTTCATTTTATTTATTTATTTTTTTCTCTTCCACTTTCATTTCGTCGTCTTTTTCAATTCTGTTCACCAAAGTAAACCATTATATGCCATTTATTTGTTAAATAAGCAAAAAAAAAAAAGAGCCAAGTGAACAAATAAATAAATAAATAAATGCTCCCGAAGAACAGAAAAAAAAAATTAGTAATTTGTTGGCCCAAAAATGAGCATTGATAAAAGCGCTTATACAAATTTTCCACTTTCATTAAGTATTTCCAAAATGATATATCACATACAAATACAAACCGATCAAATGGTTACATACACACATACATACATACACACATACATACATACACACATACATACATACACACATACATACATACACACATACATACATACATACACAACTATTTACATAGTAATACATAAGTAAATTTAATAAAATAGCTTTTTTTTTTTCGTCTAATACATACATTTTTCTTGCAATAAATAAACACTAATAAAAATGAATGACACATTGTCAATATAAATTGTCATTTGAAAAACTAATATTAATCGTAATGAATGCATTTTCATTTTGCTTATTTGTAT